ATGTTCCCCAACTTCGTTTGGGAACATAATAAAGTATTTAAATCATGAAAGTTTTTAACAAGAAGGTATTGATTTTTCATTTATTTTTCAAAGTGCAAATCTACATCTTCAATATATATTTCAATTAATATTTTGCACATACATGTATCTTAAGATTTTGGATGACACCATATCTATGAATAGAAGAGCATGTGACCGTTGTTTACTTGCGATTTTCATTCCCGAAAGTGAAGACTCAAAACATGTCCCAAACGCAGACATTGTCAAAACAATTGATGATTGGTCGATCAATGGCGATGAGACACATGGAGATAACGAACAGTATCAAGATCAAAAATCCATAAAACAATACAAAATAGGAACAGAACAAACATCGACCTCCAAAACATTATAGGTGGTACATGTGACATGGAGAAGAGAGCACCCCTGCCGACCGGTCACACCCGCCGTGTGCTCCTCGTCATGATTTGAAAATAGCGGAAAAATCCGTCGTCAATTCAGCGTACGGACTAACAATTAGTATGAAAAACGCCAGTCAGCATTTGACTCAATGATAAATTGTATTTGCTGACCAGGTCATTGTATCGACCATTGAACGTACTACGATATGATGACTTTAAACGAGACTAATAAAAAGCTTCTTGTTTCATCAACTTTTTCTTTTTCAAAAAATCATAATCTGCGATACGGGAGTTTATGTAAATTTGTTCGATACACAAGAGCATGCTCTACTTTAAGACAATTTCTAAAACGAGGTAAATCATTAAAATAACAAAAATTGCATTTTCCTCGTTTTATAACGACACAGAACGTAGGAAATGACCACTTCTACCACGGTTGTTGAAATCGAATCAACTGAGTGATAAAAACTCCTTACTGTAAGAATGTAATGAAGATCAAATTGGTGGCAAAGTAAGGAAAGTTGACGACAGAAAAATTAACGTCATCACGTTTATCATAGAGCTTGGTTTTAGATTTAGCAAATGTTTTCAAGTGTATTTCTTTATGCAGATATGTCAGTAGGTGGTATCTTTTATATCAAGGTACCAGGAATATCATATCGACATAAGAATGTTAAAATTGTTAATTGACAATACATCGTCGATTAATCTTTATGTCGAGGAAAGTACAGCGAGTTTTTCTTCTTTTAACGTATAAGATTTTGCACAAATTCTGTTTCATATGAATACAAAAATACGATCTGCTAATAACGGGACGCAATCCCTACCTATGGTAATTCCAGTAGATTGTTAAAAGACCACTCCAATATCCGATATTGTCAATAAGAACTCAAGCATCTCTTTAATGTCGACTTCAGAGTACTTGCTTGTACAATCAGAATGTTTTTTTTAACAAAATAGTTTTTCAAATGACCAATGACAAGGTAAGTAAATTTACGAGTTCAATTTTTATTGAAAAAGTAGCTGTCAATGATATCGAAAAGCCTGGACTTTAATTTATCGTGGGGAATGGTTGTGTATAAAGTTGAAAGTCTTAAGTTTTAAAGGTATTGAAATATTCAAAATACCATATATCAAAAACCCAAAACGTTTCTCAACTTTCAAAACGTTTTGGTTTTTCTGATATGGTATTTTGATTCAAATATTCAAATATCCAAAATATCACATTTCAAATCCCGATTTGATTTTTTAATAATATCAAATTTCAAAACCCGATTTGATTTTTTAATATCAGTTCAATATTTTAACTATCTAAAAGCTCTTTCAATAGACCAAAAGAGTTCATGAAATATTATAAAAATCTAAACCATGTTTAGAGTTTGATATTTTAGATATTTGAAGTAAAAGTCTAAAAAAAACTCAAGATGTAAAAAGTGTTTTAGAGTACTGTAAATGTATTATATTTAGCGTATACGATATTTGGCGGAAATTGGATTTTGAACAAGTTAGCGTTGATTTGATTTAGCGCACATCTTAATGCTCTTCTTCATAGATATATGCGCGAGGCATTTAGTGTTGTACTTGAATTAGCAGATATTGCTTTCCGCCAAAAACTCTAAAAAGAATAAACAGCCAAATGTAATACGTTTACAGTATTTTAAATTTTAGTTCTTAATTTCTAAAAAGCTAGAAAGCTTTGAAAGTTAAAATTTAAAAGTTTGAAGTCAAATTTAAATGAAGACAAAATATGTAACTGAATTTTGGAAAGTTAAGCGTAAACTTTCTGAACAAACGGTAGATTAAAAACTCAAAAATTTAAAATGCAAAAATCGGTTTTGGAAATTTGAATTCTGAACAGTTAAGGTAAAAATGTAAAACATTAAATTTTGAAATCCTCCTGTTTAGAAGTTTGAAATGTTAGAACTAACAGATTAAATTTCATTATTCCAAATCAGAATGAAGTTTGAAATTTAGAAATTTGAACTAATACATTAACATTCTAGAACTGAAAACCATTTTAGAAATTTGAATAAAAGTGTTATGCCTAGGTCACATTTAAGCCGATGGTCGGGCGACTACATTTTTCTAGTCTTGTCGGCTGAAAGAACATGATCGGCAGACACGGAGCAGTCACATTAATTCCTAGGAACACCGATGACTTGGATAGATGACACAAAAAATCGTTTTTCTTTCGAAATCAGCAATATTTTTCATAGATCTATATTCAGACAGGTGACGTGAGTAATGTTTGCAAGGCAAAGTGGCAGACTTTTGTAAGATTGTGACTCAATGTTGAAAATGTGTGCAAATTTTGTTTATAATTTCATAAACACGACAAATGGCGCATATCTAAGCAGCAAAAATTACTTTAGATTTCTTTATACCTTACGGATTAATTATTATGTTAGTTCCGTTCAAAAATATATATCAATCTATGCATCAAATTTTGTTTGTGTTATGTATCCTTAATATGTTAAATATTCACAAGTCGGCCAATCGTCGCCCGATCATCGAGCTCTGAGCTACAGTTTGATTTTAACCGTCGGCCGAAATTTTTGACACTCCACGTGCCGAACGACGGACGACCGACTTAATAAACTGACCGCCGATGGTGGAAGGATGATCGAAGGTTGGTAGACGGATAACTTCAATTGAGGAAATCGGCCACCGACGCAGAAAAAAATACAACTTGGACCGATGGACACAAATTTGGTCGGCCGACAAAAAAAGAGGTCAAAATCGGGCAAGACAATAGTCAATGGACTGCCGACTGTCTCAAGAAAAATCCCATTTTTGCTTCAAAAACCGTCGGCCGTTGTTTGTTTTTGGAAATATGACTGGGGTTTTACACGGACAATAACCTCAAATACATTTCCAAAAACGACGATCTGCCGACAATTTTTTGTAGCAAAAATGGGATTCTTCAGGTGACAGTCGGCAGTTCATTAGCCATTGTCTTGTCCGATTTTGAACCTCTATTTTTCGGTGGACTATTTTTTTTGGTCCATCGGTCCAAGTTAATTTGTTGTCTTTAATTGAAGAAATCCATCGACCAACCTTCGATCATTGTCCGACCATCGGCGGTCAGTTTATAAAGTCGGCCATCCGTCGTTCGATAGTTATGCGTTTCCAAAATGTCGGCCGACAGTAAAAATCAAACTGTAGCTCAAAGCTTTATTGTCGGGCGACAATTTGCCTACTTATAAATATTTTACCTCGTATATTAAAAGATTATATCAGTCATTGAATAACAAAATCATATTTCACAGAAATATTTGAAAGATACATTAAATGAAATTTTGTCCTGCCTTGCAGAGACCTTCAAAAATTTTAAATTAAGGGATAACTTGTTTGAAATCCTAGAACGTGACAAGATTCGGTCACTGTCATACTTCATATTCCAATTAAATTTTCGTCGCCCGCGTGGCGCAATAGTGGTAGAGCGTCTGCTCCAGAATCTCGGAGTTTAAAGAGTTCTTGCGTCACGGGTCTGAATCCAACTGTGGAGACCGGTCCTTCGGATGAATCCGTATTACTGAGATCAGGTGTCACAGTTGGTGCTAGCATGAAAAAAGATCCTACACTGCTCAATGGCCCTAAGTACCGAGAATAGGTCAAAAGATGCAGCTCTCCACCGGCAAGTGGCGGCGTCTCCTTATGAGTGAGGAATTCTAGAGAGGGCCGTTAAACAAAAAAATTATATTTATCTTTTGGAATGATAGTAATGATACTTTTAATAGTGTGTTTAATCAATACTCTTATCATTTTTGAAATATGTTATAGCAACCTGTTCTTGGAAGCAAAATTGGTGTTGGCCTGGAACTTGTGAGGGGTATTTGGCCAAAAACTGTGCTTGTGACGATGGGTTTTCTTTGTCATCGAGAGGCTCCACCAAAATCTGTGATTGTATGTACATAAATGTCCTTACATAAGGGTATTCATTTTTTTTAGGCCAAAAAGAAAAACAAAAAAAAAATTACAATTTCATGACATTTCCTATTTTATTTTAGTAAATATTTCTCCAACTTTGCTCACTTGTCGACTAGGAGTAGAAAGCAATGCCGGAGAAGTAAAGAATTCAACATCTACAGGATCCTGCCTGGAAGAAAAGTCGAATTTTATGAATTTTCAGCCAGAGCATTCTTCATTTGTTTTTGAATTTGCATTGAATGTTCATGTTTCAGCACCAAAACCGGATCGGATTTATGATTATTCATTCGGCATTGTAAAAGCTTCAGTATCAGTGTCCAGAATGAACATACATAGTAAGTAAAATAAGATTCTGGAAAAAATATAGTTTAAAAACATATTTACGGAAAGAAAATATTTCAACAATACATGAACGAAAAGGTTGTTTTGAGCTAGTAATTACATGTATGACTACGACTTATTGCAACTGCAAAAGCAAATGGCAAGTTCTTTATTCATATTGAAATATAAAAGAATTAATTTTGCAATCATTACAAAAGCTTGATACAAGTCAAGTAATGCTCTCCATTCCCACTGAGGAGGACATCTGGATGAAAAAATAATTGGGCTGAATATTGATTGCGCTTATGTTCGGTTACTGTATTTGATCAAAATATTGGGACCAAACTCCTTCAAAATCTTTCTCCTTTGCCGCTAAGAAACCTTGCACATAAACTGCATTTGTGTAGAAGATTTCAATAATTTCAAAGAGTTCGGTTCACTTCATGCATAAAACGGCCCTGTAGATATACCAATTTATTGACTAACAATTTAATACAGTAACTTGATCCGAAGAGCCGTATCACGTCTCGTTGACAGGCGCGGATCATCAGACGCTCTTCGTCTCGTTTGATTTGATGACCCGCGCCTGTCAACTCGACGTGACACGTTCCTTCGGATTAAGTTACTGTTATTATTTACATTTGCGAATGTTTTCCTTTATATAACATTACTGAAAGCAATGCGTATCTATAACTGAATGAATACCGGTACTAAAGAGGTCATAGATGTGCGGATGGATAATCGTTCGACGTAATTTCTTCTGTGACGTCATAAAGGGTGGACGCGCGTTCAGTGGATTACATATATGCCGTTGGATTTGAAAAAATAATGTATTTCACACGTTAAAGTTACAATCAGACAAATATAAAGTATAAATAAGTCAAATGTAAATGTAATAAGGTATCATTTTAAAACATCTATCGGGCTATAAATACGGTTTATACGAGATTAAATTCATCATAATGCCCCGCTTTATGGAATTTAATCTCGTGACCAACCCGTATTTATATCCCAACAGATGTTTTAAAATGATACCTTATTTCTTATATACATTTATTTAATAATTCAATTACATATTTATGATAAGAAAGGTGCCTCTTTCATAATGGTTAATTTCAAGGCCCCTGGGTCAGAGGTACCGGGGGTACTCTTTCTGAAAATAAATTAATGCTTTGAAATCTGCTCTTTGCAATTGGTATTAACCAACCGTTTATGATGGAACAGAATTCATGATAAAATTTCAAAAATTTCGAAATATGTGGCCGCAGTTTCTGTAGGGTGGGGTGCACAACTGGTGGTTATAAATCGGAAATGCATTTTCTCTTTGTTACTCTGATATTTAAGAAACCAAAGTAAGCATGGTAAGTGTATAATTATGATAAGCAATGGTGCCTCTTTCAAAATCTTAATTTCATGGCTTTTGGATTAAAACCATCGAACCAAATAAACCGAAGTACGAACCAAATTAAATTGTTGGAAAGTTGTTACACGATACTCAGGTGACCTATAAGGCCCTTGGGCCTCTTGTTTAACTCTTAGACACAATTTTCAACATAGATTGTCCTTAAATATAATTTGTTGTGACTGATAACCGATAAACACTAAGCTGTTCTCATCAATCATAGGAACACGCACACAGCTCCGAGTACTTGAACCTCATCAGTTTAACAGATGTACCTTCAATGGGTTTAGGAATACCAACCCATATGGAAGTGTTATATCATGCAAAATGAATTTTGAGACACCGTGGCATTTTGAAGACGGAGAACGGTACGTTTTAAAATTATTCATCTTCACAAAACACAGAAGTTTCGAATGAACATCTCTTTATTGAAAACATACAAAATTTGTTTTACTTTCCTTTTACATTTAAAATTAATGGAACATCATTTTTTCTTTGAAAAATATCTTGAATAATTCAGTAAACCAGCTGTCATGATTCAAGATCATATGTTTAATTTTCTTAATAAATTTGTATATTATGATTAATTGAAAAATAAAATAGGCCAAGCTCTCTTCCAAGGGGAAATAAATTTATTAAAAAATTGATGGCATCATTTAAAAAATTTCGGATGAGACCGTATAAACCGAGGCCCCGTGTTACAGCAGGTGTGGCATGATAAAGATCCCTCCCTGCTCTAAGGCCATAAGTGCGGAACATAGGCCTAAATTTGCAGCTCTTCACCGGCAATGGTGACGTCTCCATATCAGTGAAATATTCTGGAGAGGGACCTTAAACAGCAATCAGTCAATCTTCTCAAGAGCACAAGGTCAGGAAAGATGAAACTCATGTAGAATCATCTTCAGTTAGTAAAAGGAGGTGGGGTGGGGTGGGGGGGGCTTAGTATAGCTCTCTCCTACCCGTGGCCGCTTGATCATATAAATTGTCGTAATCTTCAATATGTTCACCTCTATGCTGTGACGTCATGCTCAGCCATAGACAATATTTGCAACATGACATCAACAGTAAACAAATAAATATTTCGGTTAGTGCGATTGGCTTTTGAAAGGCTGCGACAAAGTTCATTTTCTGACTCTGCTTAAATTGCATTAGTCAATAATTTAATGAAGTACGAAATATTCTCCTCTCAATCAACCACGGCCAAAATGGGAGTGGTTTGCGACGATAGTGCAAGATATATTGGCGAGTTTCGATACTTCTTCTTGCCATTTATAATCCCAGTCGCGAATATTGAAAGTCGTAGAAAAAATTTCTTAGCGACGAATCGCGAATAAAAATCGCGCGTGAATTTTCTGATTTACAGAGTTCTTGGCTTATTAAATAGAACTACATATACATTAACAAGTTAATTAAGAAAATAAATTCGATTTCCAACTGTTCTATCATGCAAAAAAATTTCTCATCTTCATCCAACAAAGAAATAAAGAACTGTCATAATGCTACATCCATCTAGGTTCTGTTTGGAATTCACGTCCTATGTCGGTGGATACCTTCGAACTAAAGATTTTTCAGGAACAATATCACAATACCACATTTATAATTCTACAGAGGCATCACATGAAGTATGCATGATGTACGACTCTTCTCCGCCAAAACATTGTTCAGAAAATAGTACCTGTTTACATAATGAAACACTGATTATAGAAGATCGCATAACAAAATCTAGAAATTTGAGGATTTCAGTGGCAGGCTGGCATGATTCTCACCCATGGCCATTGACGGCTAATGAAGCTTCCGGTGTCGACAGCTATTTCCTTACTATACACGAAATACTTGAAATTGATTCATTAACACTCACAATGGATGAAAGGTCTTTGCTGAGTTATAAACTTACACGTGATATTAATGTTATACAGTTGCCTGATCGACAACCGGCGCTATATGGGCTTAGTTTAAAAGTTGGTGATAAAGCAGGGAACTTCAAATTGGCTAGGCGATTTGTATTGTTTGACATTTCGTCAAAAATTAAAACCAATCGCGTCTGCAAAGTAACTGTGTCATCTGGAAATCCTGCAACAAATTTCACATGGCAAATAAACCATGGGGAAATATGCATTAACTGGTCTGGAAGATACTACAATAGTTTCAATGTTCACTTCAACATACTTCGAAAAATCAAACCAGATTTTTATAAATTGTATAGCGGAGTATATGAGCAGCTTGAAGGCCAACTCCCAGTCAGTGGAACGCCAAATGTGAATGGAATTATTGAGTTTCTCTATGTCATCAAAAGAAATAAAGAAATGTTACTGAACAACTCGGTTTCAAATATCTTTAATCAATCCTTTTGTCATTTGCTGGAATCTAAGGATGGTGAGGTGTACGATATTACACTTACAGCAGTCGATATAATAGGCAACCGTTTAAGTGAATCACTGGTTGTTCGTATGGATTCAAGTGGTCCTGAAATACATTTTATAAAGGATGGCTCGCACCAGTCGTCGGAAAATGTAACAAATAATCCAAAATTAACATTTGAAATCCTGGATGAACACAGTGGACTGTATTCGGTAAATTGGACATTAGGTACCTCAGTAGGAAGTGCAGATTTAGGCGCTGGAAATCTTCCTGTTGTGCCTCAATCGCAGGTAATGTCCGATGTTTTGATACACAGTAATACAGTACAAGAGTTTTGAACTTGAAATAGTATATCTTTTGTTATTTTCTGCAGGGAGACACGAAGTGGTCATCTCTAATTTTGTATATTTCAAAAACGTTGAAACAAAACAATTCTAATACAATAATATAAAGTAAAACTCGAAAATACAATGCATGAAAATCACAATAAAATTTTACTTTTTATCAGCTGCTAAAAACTTTAAAAACAGTTGTTTACATTTTCAGAACTCCTGCGACCGTTTGAGCCTCTGTTATTGTCCAGAGACTGGGAACTGCGAAAAGTATTCGTATACTGTTAACGCGTTTGAACACAGATTCAAGAATTCAGATGAAACTCATAAAACAAGTTATTTTCTTACAATTAATGCAATGAATCACGCACTATTGCTATCATCTTTATCAATGGAAATCAAAGTGGACAAATGCTTAACTAACATATGTCTAAATGGAGGAATATGTTTCGTAGTGAACAGTAGCAATGAATGTTCGTGTCCGAATACTCATCATGGATCTCGTTGTCAAAACGGTAAAGATTAATAATACTAGTAGTTAGAAAGAATGGAGGTGTACAAGCGAAAATGTATTTCTGAATTTTAAAGTTTATGAAAAAGTTTTATAATTCAAAAATCAGTAATATTATATTTAACACATTTGATTCATTTATTCTGTATTGCTCATAACACGTTAATGCTATTTATCCAAAACAGCAATTCAAAATGATTTTTGAAAATGAGTGGATCATCTATTCTACATAAACGTTTGAATGACAAAAAGAAAGAAATTCAATGTAAAATCTATTTCATGTTTCAAAAAAGGAGTTTTAACAAACTTGTTTACTTAAATCAAACTGAAACATTATAAGATAAAAGACTGTGTTGCGTAGTTGTTAACACATAGCTCCACTGCTAGATTTGGACCGAGTTGGAAACGTGCATGGGGTTCTTTTTTTTCCCCACATACCTTAAAACATAAGTGAAAATGAATTATTTGATAAAATGAAATAAAGGAATCAATTGCGTAAAAGATTATGCTGACAACCAAACTTTTGAAAAAAAAATGAATTTTAGAATGAAGAATTATCTTCTCTCAGAACAGTGGATTGTTCTCCTCTTGTACGCTTCCACTCTTAAATTTAAGCTTTGATGATATAAAACATCTAGTATTTCTGCCTGTATTAGTTTCTCTGAATTCAAGAGATTTCAAAATTCAACATAGTCTACTTATTTAAGGAATATTAATGAAAACATCTAATCATCAATATATCTTTTTTAATGAGCAGCATGCATCAGACCAAAGCATTGTGAGGAATACGAGTGTACATCGGCAGAAGATTATGTGTGTAAAAAGTGTTACGGAGAAGGGGCTACTCCTGAAAAATCAGCATATTTTATTTCCACAGATAAGAAAAGCTACACGGGTTTGTATTATAAATATATTTTAGGGATTGACATTTTAACGATAAATATTACAAAGGAATTTTTAAAATGTAAAGGCATTATACAAGTGAGAAAATCAGTGCACTCTAATATTGCATATATAACACATTTGGACGTTCTTGTTAGCAAATAAAACATTCGTAAACTCAAGTCTCCGAAGCGCTGCGAACGGCCATTCCTATTTTACATAATTCCTGAGGGAGATGTCCATACACTAGCTGTATTTTTGTCATATTTATCTCTGACTTGTTTTTTAAAAAAATATATTTATATATACTATAGTGTCATTGGTTTACAGATTTAATACCACCGCAATTCGTCAACTGCCCCTCAGATAAGATACAGAAATATGATTCAGGAGAAGGTTCCTATGTAACATGGGAACCAATACACGCTGTGGACAATGCTGGCAACCTGAGTCTCTCAAGCAATATAAAAAATGGGGATTTCCTTATATTTGGTAGTCATCGTGTTATCTATAATGCGACTGATGATTCTGGGAACATAAATACTTGTAACTTCGAAGTAAAAGTGACGAAGATAAAAGGTAACTTAATTTTGTTAACTTTTTTACGACATGGATATTTTAAAAATTTATATGAGAATAACAGTGATAATCCTCAAAGGTCCATTTAAACAACAGTACAAATGGTGAGCAGAACCAAAACGGCCGCTTCCACCTTGAAAAACAGAGGTGGGATCAAGTGCCATGGAGAGATGGGTTTCCTCTTTCGATTGGTCACATCTTGTCATGATCGGGTAAAACTGAAAATTCCGTGGATAATTTTAAAAAAGCATGCAAACTTGTGGCCTAACATAGCTTGTATGAAATACGTTAATGAAGATTGTATGTACCCACAAGGTCATTGTACAGAATTTGCAAAATGTTGACTTTTAACGGGTTTGTAATCATGTTAGCTTCAACTGGCTTGTCAATATCTTACCTTGTTTTTGAAATCAATCGTACCTTTTACACACGTATCGAATCAACTGGCTGAGAGATATAAACTCCACATGCAGATATTAAAGCATTGAATTGTGTATGCAACATAAATTCAATGTATGGGGAGTAAACGATAAATCACAATTATCTTAGAAATCGTTTTTTGTTTCCAATAAATAAATGTTTATTTTTGTAAAATATTTAGGGAATATTTATATGTTTTGTGAGTTAACGCTGTGATTTTGAAGAATATACTATACTTAAAACGGGAAGAACTACGCACTTTAAATCTCGGTTTCTCCCTACATTTCACACCAATTTATTTCGATACTAATGGCAATTTGGTCATAAAATCTCTGTTTAATGCAAGGAAAAGTTCAATTGTAATAAGTCCCCTACCGGTAAAACCGGTGGATACTATAGGTTTTCTTTTTTCTTTGAGTCTGTCAGTCCGTCCGACCGTCCTCCTAGCTGTCATTCTGTCTGTCAGTCTGCCCTACTTGATTTTCCGCACCTTTTTTTCTAAACACTTGCATATATTGAGCTGATTTTTGGTATGTAACTGTACCTTGATGAGTTACAGATCAAGTTTGAATTTCGTTCCGCTTAATTGGTTTCTGACAAAATTATGGCATTTATAATTTTTTATAATTGGGATTAAAATCGGGTTCGTTATGTACTAAATTAAAGTTCAAAACGAGCTCGTGTCCTAAGGAGAAAAGGGGGACCCGGTAAACTATTGCTTATGCAATACTCTCAGAATGTTTGTTAAATATTAAATTTGATACCAGTGTTAAATAATTAATTACTATTAATTCCAGCTCTTTTTATAAAGGGAGGGTGGTTAGACAATGTTTTCCATTGAAATCGGGCTTGGAAGATTCAGCATGTTTTTAAATATTCTTGGATATGGCTAAATGATCCTTTCATCTTTTCTTATGTTTTACGCACATAAAATAAAAACACATGTTATTGATAAAATACAACATTTAAGTTGTTAACCCGATCAAAATTGGTGAAAAAATGAACATTTTTGTCGTTTGTTGTCTGTAAACATACATGTACATGTATTACCTCCCCCCCCTTCCCCCGCAGTGAAACGCAAAAAAAATTGGTACAAATTTGTAAAATACTTTATAGCGGTCCATATGACCTTGTACAAAT